GGTCCCCTCAGTGCATGTATACAAAGTCTATTCCTGTTGCCCAGCCCTTCTCTAATTCTACATATACCACTCTGCTTCCTGGCCACAAACTTGTTGCTAACAAAACTGTGAGCATCTCACTAGAAGATTCAGGACTTTATATCTTTTGACTCTCCCTAAGTGTACACTAACAGGCCAAATCTACTTGCTGAGTAAAGAAAAGATTCCCTGAGACTTCTTATTGGTGACAGAAGATTCAACCTTTAAAAATTACCCAAATTCGGGCCCGGTGCGGTGGCTCACATCCGTAATCCCAGCACTCTGGGAGGCCAAGGTGGGCGGATCATGAGGTCAGGAGATCGAGACTACAGTGAAACCCCGTCTCTACTAAAAATACAAAAACTTAGCCGGGCGCAGTGGCGGGTGCCTCTAGTCCCAGCTACTCGGGAGGCTGAGGCAGGAGAATGGCGTGAACCCGGGAGGTGGAGCTTGCAGTGAGCTGAGATCGCGCCATTGCACTCCAGCCTGGGCAACAGAGCGAGACTCTGTCTCAAAAAAACAAAAATTATCCAAATTCCCCAACTCCTAATGTATAAAAGGACTGAGAATCCCTTTGATCTATTCATCTTGCTGGAATAAGGAAATAAAAGATTAACATACAAGAAAGAAAAATAAAACATCTATTACTTACCTTCTCATGACTTCACATACATACAGTATCTGTTTTCTTACAAAGTTGTAAACAGTATCACCATTTACAATTATTAAGACCTCCATAATAATTCATCAAGTAGATATACCATCTTTTACTAACCATTCCTTGGTCAGATGTTTAGAATACCTTAAAACTTTTCCAAATTATAATATAAATAACACTGTGATGAACACCTTTATCCATAAAACTGTGACTGTATTTTGGATTATTTCCTGAGGTTAGATATCCAAAAGTGGATCTGCCAGATCATTGGTAATGAACATTTTTATTACACCTCATATGTATTACAAATTTTATGATTAATTCTTAAATATCTTTCAGCTGCAAGATACAATTCTATTGCTAAAATATGGGATCCTCTTAGTCCAAATGTTTTGTTAAGTAGGCAGGATAGTATAAAAGAAAACAGACTCTAGAATCACACTGTCTGGGTTCAACTCCCAGTTCTATCATTTGGTAGATGTATGGACTTAAACAAGTTACTAAATTTTCCTAAGACAATATACATAAAGCACACGGTCTGGCATATAAAAAGGGGTCAATAAATGTTAATCATTATTATTGCCTTTAGATTACAAAAAAAAAGATAGATCCTATTTTAAAAAGCCAAGAATATCCTCAAATAATGGAGTAAGAATGAACATAAAACAAAAGACAAAATAATACTCTCGTACTTACATCATAAGCAGGTTCATTTATGGTGAATACTATCTATATCACTGTGGTTATTAGTTACATATAAATAAATACCACTTTATTGAGTGTCTACTCTCTTTAAAACCTTTACATACACTGTCTCATTTAATCCTCTTAACAACCCTCTATGGTGATGATAATAATAACACCAAAAATAACAGCTAATGTTTACCAAGTGCTTATTATATGTCATGCATAGTCATGAAGTAGGACTTTTCATTTGATTATTACCCTCATTATACAGACATAACTGAGTTACACAGAGGCTAAATAGCTTGTCAAAGCTTACACAGCTAACAAGGTAGGTCTTATTACTACCATTTTATAAGAAAACTGGAACCTATGAAAATTACCTGTAAAAGTAAGTAACTGGGGCAGGCTTTGAACCAGCATCTGTTGGACTCTCAAGTCCATATGCTTTTATTTCTGTTACTCTGCCACCTTATGTGGATTATCAACACCAAATAGTTAAGGCTGGCTTCCCTCATTCTCACCTTCCTTTGCCATAAGCCAGTATGTACTGACAATAGTCTCGTTTGAACATTTGCCTCTGAGGAGAATATAATCAGGAAGGCAAGTCTGATGCAAAACTCCATATTCTGAAATGCAACCCTTAACACAATGTACCATGGATTCTCTCTCCTGAGGTGTCTGTTGCACTCCATCTAGCGTACATGCCTTTCAGATACTTGGTGGTTCCTAATAAGGTACCCCAATCAGTTTCTTAATCAAGGCAACACTTCAAAAGATTTTCAGATGAATGCTACAGACAGGTTTCCTATTTCCCTCTGTCTCAGAAGGCCCTCAAAATCCCCTCCACTGAAAGAAACAAAGCCGCTTCAAGCCTCTCAAAACATCTTGAAAATACATTTTCAAAAGGACTGCACCCGTAGGAAGAAACCTAAACTGAAGTCTTATTTCTCAAATGAACTAATTGTTTAATATTGCACAAATTATGTCCCTTCTTTGTGCCTCTTCAAAAGTGGAGAAAGTGTCCTGAGATTCTAGTTTAAAAAATGGGGCTCCTGACTGGGTGTGGTGGTTCACGGCTGTAATCCCAGCACTTGGGGAGGCTGAGGCAGGCAGATTAAGAGGTCAGGAGATCGAGACCATCCTGGCTAACATGGTGAAACCCCGTCTCTACTAAAAATACAAAAAATTAGCCGGGCGTGTTGGCAGGCGCCTGTAGTCCCAGCTACTCGGGAGGCTGAGGCAAGACAACGGCGTGAACCTGGGAGGCGGAGCTTGCAGTGAGCCAAGATCTCGCTACTGTGCCACTGCACTCCAGCCTGGGCGACAGAGCGAGACTTCGTCTCAAAAAAAAAAGAGATGGGGGAGTCCTTTGGGGAAGTATTTATTACTAACCAGAGGGATTTGGTGGAGTGAGAAATGTAGACAGTGGTAAAGAAATAAATCCACATAACCTTTGCAGGATAGAGCAAAGCAGCATCCAAAGGCCTTTCCTATCTTCTCCAAGATTTATCCTCCACTAAAGACGAGCAAAGATAGGATCCTGCTGCCACCTGGTGGCACTTTAGGCATCACAGAAAGAAGGGCTTACTCAATAGGGTCATGCAACCCAAATCCCCCTCAAGAAACCACAACCTCCTCCTCCTCCCTTACAATTAACTGCACAGAGCTTGACCATTCACAAAACACTTTTAACCCTATTATCTCATTTCATTCTTCCAACAACTATGGGAGGGGAAAGGGGAGGTGTGCGGGGGGAGGGGGCAGAGGGGGCGGGGTGGCAGGACTGGAGGCATAACTCCAACTCTGTTGGAAAAGCCAAAGCTCAGAGAGACTACGTGACTTGCCTAAGGTCACACAGTGAGTAGCTGACAGTACCTGAACCCACATTCCCTGATTCTAAATCAGGTGATTCATTCTCTGCTGTGTAGGCAAACGGGTAAAACTGAGGTTTAGGTATGCTCCAGGTCTAGGAATTTGAAGGAAGGAGGCTTAAGAAGAGAAAAGGCTCAATTTCTTCTGCAGACACAACTAATTGGCCACAGGCCACAGCCAGGCCGCTTAAAAAAAGGTCTACATAGTCGACTTGTCTCTAGAAAAAGGTACGTAGATAGCCTCGGTTCCTGTCTTCCTTCTCGGTTTGCACATTCTCAGTTAACATCTCTAGGTCTCTCCAGCTGCTCTCCCTCCCTCTACTTTCCAGCCCTAGCCTACCCATAGGACACAAGGCTGATTTATGGCTAAGTGCTAAACACCAAACGGATCCCAGACAAGGGAGCCACAACATCTAGAAATCAGCAAAAACTACAGGGAGAGCTGCTATGTCCCTGGGTTAGAGCTCATAGTATTTGTGGCTCAGCCCAGATTTTCCTGTAAGTTTTGGCAGAAAGCTCAGGTGGCTTGTCCCATATGGATGTCATGCACACTGAAACCCAGTAGGCAATGCTGGAGTTATGACTTACCAACTAGTACATAGGGATAGCCTAAGAATCTGAGAGTTTCCAATTTCTCCAAGGCAACCACAACTTCTTAAAGAATTGCAGCTGGGCACTGTGGCTCACACCTGTAATCCTAGCATTTTGGGAGGCCGAGGTGGAAGGATTGCTTGAGTTAAGAGTTCAAGACCTGCCTGGGCCAAAGAGTGAGATTCCGTTTCTACAAAATAGAGAAAATTAGCCAGGTGGGTGACATGCATCTGTAGTCCCAGCTATGGGGGAGGCTGAGAGTGGGGAGGATCACTTGAGCCCAGTAGGTCAAGGATGCAGTGAGCTGTGATCGCACCATTGCACTCAGCCTGGGCAACAGTGAGACCCTGTCTCAAAAATAAATAAATAAAAGAAATGCAAAGCCCAAGTGCCTAAACTTTCTACAACCCACAGATCTCCCTCTCTCCCTCCCTCCCTCACTGCCTCTCTCTTTCCCTCTTTCCCTCCCTCCCTCCTTCCTTCCTTCCTTGTGAGTAGAGCACATTCACTAAATGAGTGGAGTATTGTATGGGATAAAGGTGACAAATAAGAAATAATTCCTTTGTGAAATCAGGATCTTGAAGAGATACCTGCATTCCTGTGTTCACTGCAGCATTATTCACAAGGACCAAGATATGGATATGACTTGCATGTCCATTGACAGATGAATGGATAAAGAATATGTGGTATACATGTACAATGGAATATTATTCAGCCTTTAAAAAGAATAAAATCCTGCCATTTGTGACAATATGAATGAACCTGGAGAACATTATGAAATAGGCCAAACATAGAAAGATAAATTTCATTCGCGTCTGTGTGAAGAGACCACCAAACAGGCTTTGTGTGAGCAACAAGGCTGTTTATTTCACCTGGGTACAGGCGGGCTGAGTCCAAAAAAAGAGTCAGCAAAGGGTACTGGGATTATCATTAGTTCTTATAGGTTTTGGGATAGGCAGTGGAGTTAGGAGCAATGTTTTGCGGGCAGGGGGTGGATCTCAAAGTACATTCTCAAGGGTGGGGAGAATTACAAAGAACCTTCTTAAGGGTGGGGGAGATTACAAAATACATTGATCAGTTAGGGTGGGGCAGAAACAAATCACAATGGTGGAATGTCATCATTTAAGGCTATTTTCACTTCTTTTGTGGATCTTCAGTTGCTTCAGGCCAGCTGGATGTATACATGCAGGTCACAAGGGATATGATGGCTTAGCTTCGGCTTAGAGGCCTGACATTCCTGTCTTCTTATATTAATAAAAAAAATAATAATGGTAAAGTGTTAGGGCAGCAAAAATTTTTAGGGGTGGTATGGAGAGATAATGGGTGATGTTTCTCAGGGCTGCTTCAAGCAGGATCAGGGGCGACATGCGAACCTAGAGTGGGAGACATTAAGCTGAAAAAAGACTTTGTGGTAAGGGGTGATATTGTGGGGTTGTTAGAAGGAGCATTTGTTGTATAAAATTATTGGTGATGGCCTTGATGAGGTTTTGTATGAATTGAGAAACTAAATGAAAGACACAAGATTCAAATAAAAGAAGGAGAAAAATAGGTATTAAAGGACTAAGAATTGGGAGTACCCAGGACATCCAATTAGAGAGTGTCCAAGGGGGTTCAACATTATTGTTTGCTTGGTTGGTGAGTTTTTGGGCTCCATCCTTGAGTTTATGTTGTCATATACCAGGCCAGATTGATTAAGGTAAGAACAACACTCTCCATTTAAAAATATACAGAGTCCTCTTTTTTTAGCAGTGAGTAAGTCAAGGCCTCGGCAATTTTGGAGGAAAGAGAAATGCAAAGCCAGCAACTGTTTGTTAAAGAAGGATTAGAAATGGCTAGGAGAGAGTGAGATTGATAGTGTGGTGGAGATAGCTTGGGAGAGGTAGAGGGTGGCATAAGAACGGGAACCAGAATAAGAGTGAGTATAAAAGTAAAGAATAGGACTTCATCAGGGTGAAAGTATTGGAGGGTACCTTGCCACTGAAGATCCACTTCAAGAGAGACTTAAGGGTGGCGATTTACATCCAGGAGTCACTAAATACCAAGAGCCTGAGAAACTGCTTGGGTGATTTGACTAATAAAGGCCAGTCCGTTATCAGACTGCATAGAGGTGGGAAGGCCAAACCGAGGAATTACATCTGACAAAAGGGAAGAAATGGCCGCAGTGGCCTTCTCAGACCCTGTGGGAAAGGTCTCTACCTATCCAGTGAAAGTGTCTACCCAGACCAAGAGGTATTTTAGTTTCCTGACTCAGGGCATGTGAGTAAAGTCAATTTGTCAGTCCTGGGCAGGGGCAAATCCCCAAGCTTGATGTGTAGGGAAGGGAGGGGGCCTGAACAATTCCTGAGTAGTAGTAGAATAGCAGATGGAACAACTGAGAAGTGATTTCCTTGAGGACAGATTTCCACAATGGAAAGGAAATGAGAGGTTCTAAGAGGCAGGCTAGCAGCTTGTAACCTACATGGAAGAGATTATGAAATGACGACAGAATAGAATGGGCCTGTGAGGCTGGAAGGAGATATTTTTCTTGGTCTAAGAACCATTTGCCTTGTGTGGGAAGAGATTGATAGGTGGAAGTTTCAGTGGGGGAGTAAATGGGAGTGACCAGATAAGAAGGAGAAAAACTGCCATGAGGGATAGAAGCTGGAAGCTAGCTGCTTTTTTAGCTACCTTATCAGCATAAGTGTTGCCTTGAGCAGTGGGATCTGATGCCTTTTAATGGCCCTTGCAGTGAATGACTCCAGCTTCCTTTGGAAGTAAAGCGGCCTTGAGAATAGTTTTTATTAAAGAGGCATTAATGATGGAGGACCCTTGCATGGTGAGAAAACCTCTTTCTGCCCATATAACAGCATGGTGGTGCAGGATATGGAAGGCATATTTAGAGTCAGTATAAATATTTAATTTTATTGATGCGTAGTCCCTTTGCAAGAGTGAGGGCCCGAGGCAATGAGTTCAGCTTGCTGAGAGGTAGTGGAGGGCGGCAGAGTGGTAGCCTCAATGATAGATGTGGAAGATACTATAGCATAGACTGCCTTTGCTGGTGTGTGGCAGTTAGGCCTGGTGGAACTGCCATCAATAAACCAAGTATGATCAGGGTGAGGAACAGGAAAGAAGGAAATACAGGGAAATTGAGTGAATGCCAGGTGGATTAGAGAGATACAGTCATGAGGCTCAGGTGTGGTATCAGGAATAATGTGGGGGGCTAGCCTAAAACAGTAAGGTTAAGTTGTTTGGACAGAAAGGCTACAGGACGTAGTCCCGGCTCTTGTGTAAGAATTTTGACTGCACAGCCCTGTACTTTGGCTGTGTGTAATGAAACACACTGGCTTTTCCTTTTTAGGGAAAGCCAGTGTGGGAGCAGCCTCTAGGGCTGTTTTTAAGGAGCAGAAAGAGGAGTGGCAAAAGGATTTAGGATCTATGGGGTCAGCTAGGTTTGTGTTTGTGAGTTTACATAATGGTTTAGTCAGGTTCCAAAGGTGGAAGTACCTAACCACACCTAGGAAGGAAAGGAGTAGTTGTTTTGTAGAAGGGGTTCAGGTTTGGGAGATTAGCTGGACACAATCGGCAGGGAGAGTACGTGTGTTTTCATGAAGAATTATGCCGAGACAGGTAACAGATGAGGAAGAAATTTGGGCTTGACTGAAGTAATGGGGGCTGTCCACGAAGCCTTGCGGTAGTACAGCCCAGGTAATTTGCTCAGCCTGATGGGTGTCAGGGTCAATCCAAGTGAAAGCAAAGAGAGGCCGGGATGAAGGGTGCAAAGGAATAGTAAAGAAAGCATGTTTGAGATCCAGAACAGAATAATGGGTTATGGAGGGAGGTACTAGGGATAGGAGAGAATATGCGTTTGGCACCACGGGGTGGATAGGCAAGACAATTTGGTTGATAAGGTGCAGATCCTGAACTAACCTGTAAGGCTTGTCCAGTTTTTGGACAGGTAAGATGGGGGAACTGTAAGGAGACTTTATAGGCTTTAAAAGGCCATGCTGTAACAGGCGAGTGATAACAGGCTTTAATCCTTTTAAAGCGTGCTGCGGGATGGGATATTGGCGTTGAGCGGGGTAAGGGTGATTAGGTTTTAATGGGATAGTAAGGGGTGCATGATCGGTCGCCAAGGAGGGAGTAGAGGCGTCCTATACTGGTGGTTTAAGGTGGGGAGATACAAAGGGAGGATGTGAAGGAGGCTTTCAACTGGGGAAAAAGGTGGCAATGAGGTGTGGCTGTAGCCCAGGAATAGTCAGGGAAGCAAATAATTTAGTTAAAATGCCTGGACCTAATAAGGGAACTGGGCAGGTGGGGATAACTAAAAAGGAGTGCTTAGAAGAGTATTGTCCAAGTTGCCACCAGACTTGGGGAGTTTTAAGGGGTTTAGAAGCCTGGCCATCAACACCCACAACAGTTATGGAGGCAAAGGAAACAGGCCCTTGAAAAGAAGGTAATGTGGAGTGGGTAGCCTCTGTATTGATTAAGAAGGGGACGGACTTACCTTCCACTGTAAGAGTTACCCAAAGCATCTGTGATGGTCCAAGAGGCTTCCAAGATGATCGGGCAGTGTCAGTCTTCAGCTGCTAAGCCAAGAAGATCTGGGAAGGAGTCAGTCAGAGAGCCCTGGGCCGGAGTTCCAGGGGCTCTGGGAGTGGTTGCCAGGTGAGTTGAACAGTCCAATTTTTAGTGGGGTCCTGCACAGATGGGACACGGCTTAGGAGGAATCCCGGGCTGCAGGCATTCCTTGGCCCAGTGGCCAAATTTCCAGCACCTGTAGCAAGCTCCTGGGGGAGGAGGTTCTGGAGGAACCCCTGGCAGCTGCAGTTCAGGCATTTGGAGTTCTTGTGTGCTGGAGATGTGGCTGAGTTCTGTCTCACAGTGGAGGCAAGGAATTGCAACTCAGAAATACATTGCTACTTGACTGCCTCTATTCTATTAGTGTACACCTTGAAGGCGAGGTTAAGTCCTGTTGTGGGGTTTGAGGGCCAGAATTCAATTTTTGGAGCTTTATTTAATGTCGGGAGCAGATTGGGTAATAAAATGCAAATTGAGGATAAGACAGCCTTGTGACCTTTCAGGGTCTAGGGCTGTAAAGCATCTCAGGGTTGCTGCCAAATGGGCTATGAACTGGGCTGGGTTTTTATATTTGATGAAAAAGAGCCTAAACACTAACTGATTTGGGAGATGTTGGACAAAGAAAAAGGAGCATTAACCTTGACTATGCCTTTAGCTCCAGCCACCTTCTTAAGAGGAAATAGCTGGGTAGGTGGGGGAGGGCTAGTCACGGAATGAAACTGTAAGCTGGACCGGGTGTGAGGAGGGGAGGTGATAAAAGGATTATAGGGTGGGGGAGCAGAGGCTGAGGAAAAATTGGGACCTAGCTCAGCCTGGCGAGGAGCAACCTGGGGAGGAGGGGAGAGGTCAGATGGGTCCATAGAAAAGGAAGATTCAAAAGACTCAGAGACGCTTGGGGTTGGGACTGAAGGGACAGGCAGGAGGGAAAGGAGGAGGATTTGGGAGGAATCGCATTGGGAACAGAGACTAGGGAGGGAACGAAGTGTGAAAAATGCCTGGATGTAATGCACCTCAGACCATTTGCCCATTTTACTACAAAAATTATGTAGGTCTTGTAGGATAGAGGAACTGAAAGTGCTGTTTTCTGGCCATTTAGAGCCAATTGTCAAGTTTGTATTGGGGCCAAGCAGAGTTGCAGAAGAAAATAAGGCATTCAGGTTTTAGGTCAGGTGTGAGTTGAAGAGGTTTTAAGTTTTTGAGAACACAGGCTAAGGGAGAAGAGGGAGGAACGGAAGGTTGCCCATAGTGAAGGAGGCAAGCCCAGAGAAAAGAGAGAGTAGAGACAGAGAGAGAAGAGCTTAGGGGGTTCTTGCCCTCCAGAAAAGCGGAGAAGGGCTAGAGACACAGAAAGAAGGGGTCAGGGGGTTCTTGCCCCCCAGAAAAGCGGAGAAGGGATAGAGACCTGGAGAGAAGGGGTCGGGGGGGGGGTTCTTGCCCCCCCAGAAAAGCAGGGAAGGGGTAGAGACACAGAGAGAAGGGGTTGGGGGGGTTTTGCCCCCCAGAAAATCCATACTTGCCGCTAAGGGTGAAGGACCAAGGCAGGCATCCCCGCGTGGTCAGACACCTCTGAAATGTGCGTGAATAATCAGGCAGGCATCCCCGCATGATTAAACACCAAAGGAAGACTGTCTTCCCAAGTCCGTGACCAGCGCCAGAATTTTGGGTCCACGGATAAAACGCGTCTCCTTTGTCTCTACCAGAAAAGGAAAGGAACTGAAATTAAGGGAGAGATTGAAGTGTGGCGCCAAGACTGAAAAGAGAAACAGGTTGAGGGATAGTGAGAGAGGTTGGAGAAGAGAGTAAAAAAAGGCCACTTACTGGATTTAAAATTAGTGAGATGTTCCTTGGGCTGGTCGGTCTGAGGACCAGATATGTAGGTGGATCTTTCTCACGGAGCAAAGAGCAGGAGGACAGGGGATTGATCTCCCAAGGGAGGTCCCCAGATCCAAGACACGGCACTAAAATTTCACTTGCATCCATGTGAAGAGACCACCAAATAGGCTTTGTGTAAGCAACAGGCTGTTTATTTCACCTGGGTGCAGGCGGGCTGAGTCCAAAAAAAGAGTCAGCAAAGGGTACTGGGATTATCATTAGTTCTTATAGGTTTTGGGATAGGCAGTGGAGTTAGGAGCAATGTTTTGCGGGCAGGGGGTTGATCTCAAAGTACATTCTCAAGGGTGGGGAGAATTACAAAGAACCTTCTTAAGGGTGGGGGAGATTACAAAGTACATTGATCAGTTAGGGTGGGGCAGAAACAAATCACAGTGGTGGATGGTCATCATTTAAGGCTATTTTCACTTCTTTTGTGGATCTTCAGTTGCTTCAGGCCATCTGGATGTATATGTGCAGGTCACAAGGGATATGATGGCTTAGCTTGGGCTTAGAGGCCTGACAATAAATACTGTATGATGTCACTTATATGTGGAATCTAAAATAGTTAATTCATAGAATTTACCACGGACTGAGGGAAAGAGGATATGAGAACATGTTGGTCAAAAGGTAGAAAGTTTCAGTTATGCAAGATGAATAAATTCTGGAGAGTTAATGTATGGCATGGTGACTATTAGTAACAATGTTACACTATATACTTAAAATTTGTTGTTGATCCTAAGTATTCTCACACAAAAGGTATTCTCACACACACACAAAAGGTAACTATGATGGATTGGTTAATTACCCTGATTGTGGTGATTATTTCACAATATGTATATCAAATCAAGTTGTATAATTTAAATATATATAATTTTTATTATTTTTTTCTTTTGTTATCTTTTTTAAGAGATAGAGTCTCACTCTGTTCACCCAGGCTGGAGTGCAGTGGCTCAATAATAGCTCACTGCAGCCTCAAACTCCTGGGCTCAAGTGATCCTCCCACCTCCATCTCCGGAGTGGGTGGAAGTACAGGCATACATCACCATGCCTGGTTTATACAATTTTTCAAAAAAGAAATAATTCCTTTGATTAAAACTGTGTTGCCTAATGGCAAATGGGGAAATGGGGGGAAAAAAAGTTATAAATGGATGTGAGATATAAACATTAAGTGCTTGGGGGTTAAGAAAAAAAAAATAAGATTCCTTCTGGTTTGGGAGTTAGGGGACAAAAGTGGATTTTAAAAAAAGCTATTTCATGGATGTATAACATATAAAACCCTCCGGAAGTCTGCCCTCTACAAACCTTCCCTGCCTTCTCTCCTACTACTACCTTGCCCTCACCCTACCATATTCTGAACACGAGTTTTCTTTAGTAAGTTAAGGATTAAGAGTATATGTTTTGCAATCAGACAGATCTTGGTTCCAATCCTACTTCTGCCATATTAGACAACCTTGGGTAACTTTTGGAATTTCCCCCCACAAAGCCTCAGTTTGCAGATCTGTAAAGTACATATCATAAAGACAGTTATTTAAAAAGGTATTTGTGAGAGTCAATTGAGAGAATGTATGCAAAGCTTTGTGCATGAACCATAGGAAAGACGTAGCAAATAGCAACTGACATTTTTCATTATCTCTGTGTCTTTGATGATGTTTTCTTTGCCCAGTATTCTCTTCACATTCTCAGACTGTTCCACTCCTATTTCTCCTGCAGGCCCATTACAAAAGTCTTTCTTCTTGAGTGCCCTAGGTCTTGCAAACAATTCCCCCACTGAGTGCTCAGAACCTTTGTTCATACCTCCTTTACTGTATTTACATGAACTTGTATTTGTTTGTAGGCTCCAGAGGGCAAGAGTTAGGTCTTACTCATTCTAGCACAGTATATGACCCACGGTACCACTAGAGAAGTGATCGTTAAATAAATAAGATTGTATTTGAGCTAGGCCTTAAATAAATAGGAATTAAAGCAAACCTCTGGATGGCCTTTTAAATGTGAATGTTAACCAATTAGTGTTATACATTAACCCATCAGAAATCTCCAGAATTAATTATCAAGAATTAGCCTTTAAGATGAGCTGACAGGCAGGACCAAAGTGAGTCAAAATTTCATTAGGAAAAGCTGGAGGTGGATGCATGGATGAATGAAAGGACCCTGGAGCCCAGGCAAGCAGCTCAGGAAACAGGTACAGGACTTCCTTAGGTTAGCCAGGGGCACTTGGTGGTATGGTGGTGAGGGAAGGGAATCACTTTTAAGAGTGAATAAGAGATTCGAGGATAGATAAAAAAGTAAAATAAAAAGACGAGTATCACAAATTTTCCAGACGGTCCTAAGGAGAAAGAAACACACACGTAACACAGAAGGTCACTATGTAGTCTAAAAGGTTTAGTTTATATTATAGCTTTCCGCCTGCTCATGATGAAACTGTTCTCTTTATCGACAGAGAAGCAATCCTGTCTTTCATTACAATAAAAAAAAAAAAGAGGTTTCCAGGTCCTGTTCGGGCACCTGAAAATTTCCCAGCCATTATTTCTTCAAATACTTTTCTGGTGTCCCTGCCCTTCTCCAATTGGAGTTACATGTATATTAGACCATGTGATATTGTTCCACAGCTCACTGATACCCTGTTCATTTTTTTCATCTTTTTTCTCTGTGCTTTGAGTACTTCCTATTGTTATGCCTTCAAATGTACTAATTTTTTATTCAGCTGTGTCTAGTCTGCTGTTAATCTCATCCAATGTACTTCTCATTTCAAACATTGTATTTTTCATCTCTAGAAATTTGACTTGGGTGTTTTTCGTATATCTTCCATTTCCCTCCTTGTTATGCTTGTGTTTTCCTCTACTTCTTGAACATGTAAAGCATTTTTATCACAGCTTTTTAATATCCTTGTCTCCTAATTTTATGATATGTGTCATTTCTGAATTCTGTTTCTATTAATTAAATGTTATCTGTTGTGGGTTATATTATCCCATTTCTTTGCACGTCCAGTAATTTTTCACTGGATGCCAGACATTACTTACCTTTCTTCAAGAATCACAGTCCTATTATGCCTATTGTCCAATGTCTGAAAACCATTGTTTCATATATCATGTTGGGTTTTTTAGTTAAATTGAAAGGGTAAATTATATTCTTGATATTTCATCATGGCAGTAAATGGAAGGCCTTGGAATCTCTAATAAATTAATATATCTAGGCATTAAAAATCAATGATTGCTAGGCCAGGAACAGTGGCTCATGCCTGTAATCCTAG